AATGGGCCATTCTGCGCATGCATCACCACATGAATGCAACCAACATGTAAACAAAAGTGTATAATCGGCAGTCACACCCACTAGTTTTGATTTACGCAGGTAAAAGCTGTGGACCAAAAAAGCAGTGTGCATGGGCCCATAGCACACTGCTTTGCTAAGATCCATATAAATTAAGCATCTGAACGCAGCAAATTGGAAACCATTGTGCAATTCTCCTTAACCTGCATCATATGCAGATCACAGGTTACCCCTTTGATCTATATATGAATGAAATACTATTGTTACATTGTATTTCTCAATTAAGCTTCCACACAGTGTTTGAACACTGTTCAGAAGCTTCCTGTTACACAACAGCAGCCTTAGCAATACAGAGCATGTGGCAGTGGGGGGAGAGCTGTAGAAGGGGAAGAGTAATGGGGTGTAGGTCCTGTGTACTACAACGACATTTCTTATGGTTTTTCCTGTTCAAATATCTCACATGTTGCATTGTCATGGATGATTGGTTCCTTCATTCAGTGACTGCTTATGTATGTATGTGTGTGTGTGATATATATATATATATAGTATTTTGCATACTTTTTTTTTTTTTTTAAATGCTGTTTGCTGCTCTCTCCTTTTTTGCTAGTTTACGTAGTAATTCAGTTTTGAAATTAATTTAACATGTAGCAATTAAACCTTGTAATGCTTTTTTCTGTTCCAATGGATAAAGGTGTAATTATCATAACACAGATATTTGGAAGGATTATAAACTTTTACCTATTTGTTGTTCTGCAGTGGATGATCTTTTGCTCCCTGAGAACAGAGCTCATATGTCTCCTGAATGCCAGCTCAAAGAACTCTTGGAGAAGTTGGATATTGTTAGTAGCTTTCGAACCAGCGGAGCACGCACAAGGCGCTTGAAACTGCTGAGAAAGGAAATAAATCTTTTACAGCAAAGACTGGCGTCATGTAGCAAAGACTTGAATGATGCTTGTTCTGGTAAAGTATTTTTTAAGATGTTAAACAATACCTGAATCAACATTCCAGCCTGACGAGATGGAAGCTGAGTCTCGATCTGCAGGGCAGCGGTTTCACATGCAGTGAAATTAGTTTACTTTTTTAATAATTTTTTTTATTGAACAATGAGTTTGTTAGTTTACAAATCAAACAGGTACATAATTAGGAAAAGCATAAACGCAAAAACAAAAAACAAAAATAATGACACTAATCCAGGCAGTGTGGTATCCTTTTAGAAAAGGATGGAAGGTTGTCTTTGGTTCAGGCCTGCTCAAACTCCCACCTCCCGCCATGTTGATGTGGCTCCTGATGTGATGGTAGGATTCTGATGTGAAAGGGAAACTGATGTAAAGGAGGCTTCCGTTGTGAAGGGGGAACTTTCATGAAAAGAGGAGTCGGGGGGGCTTTTGATGATGTGAAGGGATGAAGCCCCTGATGTGAAGGGGAGGCTCCTGATGTAAAAGAGGGACTCTAAAGTGAAAGGAGGTGGATAAGGGTCTGGTATGGATTTTAAGGGGTTACTTTAGTTTTTTTTTTTCATATCTCTACTTACCCCCTCATAAAAAGTTAGCAAGTTAGTTAGGCAGGAACGGTCTTTCCTGAACCCATGCTGATTGTCATTAACTATCCCGTTTTCCTGAACAAATTCTACCAGATAATCCTTTATTATGCCCTCTAGCATTTTACAAACTACCGATGTTAGACTGACCGGCCTATAGTTCCCAGGTTGGCACCTTGCCCCCTTTTTGAATATTGGGACTACCGTAGCCCTCCGCCAATCACTGGGGATCCTACCAGTCATTTACACTTTAGACTGGAATGCCTAAAGATATTTCATACTTCTAAATGGGTGTGGGGGGGCTGACTAAAAAAAAAGGTGAGAAATGTTGCCTTACAACTAGTAATGTTTTCATTAAAGTACATGGGTTTACATGGCTGGTCACTTTTATTAGCGCATAAAAATTATTGCTTAAGACTTCCTTTATCTACAGTGAAAATATTTGTCAAAGTTCAAAGTACACATCCCCTGGTTTGCAAGAACTGAGGTGGTACCCTGGAAGCACTCATCCCTCCTCCAACCCAGGGAATGGGTGTTCACTCATACCTCCTACAACCCAAGTGCCCAGAGATCTAAGTGTGATAATATCATCACACATTGCTTCCATATAAGATACCCTGGGAATGGCCGGTTAGGAGTAACACCCAGCTTTCCATTTTAGCCCCCCACATGTTCTCTCAGCACACTCCAGTATGCACGCCACCATCTGCATGGTTTTTAATATACATCTTTACTATTAAATACTGCTTAATAGTTATACATTGAAGGTTAAGCATTTAGTTATTTTCAAATTCTAGTATCTTTAAGAACATATTTAATTTTATGTTATGTGGCTTATCATTGTAGATGCAAAGGTTACCCACCCTCCTATGCTGGAGCTTACAGAACCTGCTCTCCCACTGCAAAATGTTACAGCTCATGAGCATCCTCCTACACTACAGCCCATAACCCAGAGTCCTGTTCACAAACAAGGGAAGAATATGTCTCATGTGAAAACTCGAGGCTCTCCTGTGCAGAATCCGAGGAGGCGGACAGCTGCTGTACATAAATCCTGGAAGAAGAAAAAGACTTCCACTGAAAACATTCATCAGTCTATAAGTGGGATTGAAAGTGATGAAGAAAGAACTGCAGAATATCCAGCTCTCGGTATCATGTTTTTAGAATTTTTTTTTATTTTTTATTTCATGAACATCTGCTGTAGCTAGATTACTTAAATCCAAAGTAGCTAAGTGTGACTTAACATTTTAAACTATGACTTTTTTAATCGTAGTGCATCTTTTGGGGCTAAAGCATATAAACAGAAGACTACAAGCTTTCTTCTATCTGAACTGTCCCAGCACAGATATTTGGAAAGTTACAGGTTTAACTAGAACATAACTTCATAGATTGTCCTTGTACTCTCCTGTTTACTATTCACTGTTCAAAACTAGCAACGGTAGTGTTGAAATACTTACCTACGAGCAGCACTGGCTGCCTTCATTCTCCAGCGGCCCAACCCCTAATGGTTGCTTCCCAGTTACAGCTGTGGCTAGGGACCAGGTTCTGTGAGGCAGAAGCAGCCAAATATTCGGCACAAGCTGTAAATAAAGAAAGACGTGTGAATGGCCCTTTTAATATGCCATAAAATTGCAAAATATGTTTTCATTTCTGCCATTTATACTTTTTACAGAAGTTGCCAATGGGTTTAGAACACATGCAGAAAGTGGCTTGGAATCTGACAGCAGCTCTGAGTTATATAGGGAACCAACTTCATATTCCAATGGGTAGGTGATGTCCTTTAGTTTCTCAGCTTGTAGTATGGTTACAGGACCACATAATAATTCTTCTCTTTGGATCTTTATAGGAAAATGACTCCTCTAGGAAAACCTGCCCTTTCACATCTGCCCCTGCTTGGAGCTATAAATGGCGATTATACCAGTCGAGGTGAGGAATTTGTTGGTCTTTTGTTGTTTTGTGCAGTTCATTTTCAGGTCTGCCATATTGATGTTTCCATGGTAAAATTTGGAAATTATATTGGTGAGAATCTAGATATGAGCACAACAGCTGATTCCTGGGAACAGAGATGGCATTAATAATAGAGAAAAAAAAAATAAAGTTGAAATCTGCACCAATCCAACACCCGGTTTCTCCCTTAGTTTTCACCCTGTAGCTGGAGATGCTGCAGAACCATACATAAGGCTGGCTGAACCAAGCCTAATGGTATGGGAGATGAGGATTAAGGCTGATCTCCAGGTTAAGTGGTTAAAATGACTCTTGCAGAGTGTGTGTGCGTGTGCGTGCATGCGTTGGGTGGGGACCTGGCTGCAGGGGGGATTACTTTCTTGTTCGTCAAGGAACACAGGGTTCAGAGACAATTTGGGCACTTGCAAACAAAAACAGTGACCGGCCTGTTATAACTCCTCCTACTCCCAGCGCGCCTCAGTTATTTTGCTGATGTCCTAATAGGAAGGATGTATTTTCTTTGCCGAGAAATGTTTAACTATTTTTACTAGGGTTTTTTTTTCCATTTCTCAAGATTATTTTTGTCTTTAGTAACAACTTCATCCAAAAGCTGCTTGAGTTTCTTTCTTTATGCAGCTATCCTGACAATCCTATCCTTAGCACTAACTTTGGATGACGTCCCCAAACCCTGCTGCACTCAACGAGTGCAGGGCCTCCATGGAATGTCACCTCCAGGCACTGGGCTCTGCTTGAGGCTCTTTCAAGACCTCTTTGGCTTGTGTAAGCTGCAGGACACCTTCCAGGGCCAGAACCATGGCACAACCTCTGGTGCGACCCTGTCTCTGAAGACACTTTGATGTCTCTCTGCCACGAAACCCTGTATCTATTTGAAATCTGATACACCAAAGTGTCCACTATGCAATGAGAGAGAAAAAAAAGTCGGTCCTTGCAAGTCACGATCTCACAGTCTCTCTGCCTATGAAACTTTGTTTCTATTTGAAACTGTATACACTAAAGTGTTTATTATGCAATGAGAGAGGAAAGCTGATTCATGCAAGGTATAATTTGGGGACTTTTACAAGGAGAAAGTCAGTCCTGTTTCTGGTCAAAAAATCCCCCGGTTATTTATATATTGCTTTTCTATGCACCCATACCAACGGGATGATTATTATCAGTGGAGCTGGACATTACTACAAGTGGCGGCATTCAATTAAATAATTTAAAAGGGGTCCAAGATACGGTGTTGTTCCTATGTGTTTTTTAGTGAGTGATATGCTTGACAATGTTGCCAATTTTTATTAGTGAGTTGCTGTCACGATGGTGCTGTGTTTGTACTCTTTTATACTAAATAATATTTTTCTATATACTAATAATGTAAGCCAATAGGCTAATAATAATTGATACTGGTTGAAGTATAACCTCTTTTTTCCACCTCACTATCTTTCAGAGGTGGTATCTATTCTTTTTGTATGAGAAATAGATAATCCGCGCTTCTGGAAAGGAGACTAAAGTGGAAATGTATAATAAATTAAGACCTAAAGCAGCTCTAAAAAGAGGATAGAAGAATCCTATCAACAGTCGAGAAAAATATATATCAAAGCGCTAAAGGTGTAACTAATATGAAACTTAGTATAACCAAGTGATATAGTGAAATTTTAGGTTTAGGCGGTCTAGCCCTAAAACAAGTGATATGTCTTACATAGAATCATAAAAGAAATATATATAAAATAAAAATAAAATGAATAGTACAATAGTGCTGTGGAAAAACAGAAAATGATTGGGACAATAACAAATTTCAACCACTGTGTAAAGACCTCGAATAGGTCACAATATGTAAACGATCCGTGCAAAAAATATATATTAAAAAATTGGAATAAATTGGTCAACGAAAAATAAACGTAAAAAACGTATACAAAGGAAGTTGTTAATGATATATATTGATGGTGGTATATATTTCGTAGCGGTGGTCCGACAGCCCCCCTTGGGTGGGTACTCACCAAATGGAGTTGGATCGAAGGCTTTTAGTTAGTGACGCTTGAGCCTGCAATCGTGCTTTCAAACTTGGACCCAGTTGTTTTTACTCTCAGTCCCTGCAAGGTGAGTGTTTGGTTTTTCTCCCTTGTAGCGCTGGCTGTATCCCAGAAGTGACGCTGGATCGTCTCAGGCGCAGTGTCAAACGAAACTCCTTGCCGTGGTCCCGCAATATTTCAAAGATAAAAAAAGGAGAGAGCCCTCATAGTGTAGCGTGCAAAAACATTTAGCTTTATTACAAGTAGTAACTTACACAGGCAAAAAAATCCGGCCGGCACAAGCAGCTCAGGAACAAACTTTTAAAACCCTCGTGTGCAAATTTAGCGTCTGCCCTCTTTGACGCGTTTCGTCAGGTGACTTTTTGGAATGTCCGTGTGGACTCCAATACGTTGGCAGGGCCACTAGGGAACTGCAGTTTATGTAGTGCTATAAATTCATCTTTACAAAGTTCATGTTGTTGCTTTCAATTTAGAATCCAATCCATTGAGAATTGAGCTCAACACGAAATTTATCAGGGAGGACTTTACTGCCAGGCTCAACTGCTCTGTCTAGTCAGCAATTTGTTATTGTCCCAATCATTTTCTGTTTTTCCACAGCACTATTGTACTATTAATTTCATTTATATTTTATATATATTTCTTTTATGATTCTATGTAAGACATATCACTTGTTTTAGGGCTAGACCGCCTAAACCTAAAATTTCACTATATCACTTGGTTATACTAAGTTTCATATTAGTTACACCTTTAGCGCTTTATATATTTTTCTCGACTATTCTTTTTGTATGCCTTTTCTCCCCTGGAATGGGGCTCTTTAAAAAAACACTCTTTGAACCTAATCCATTCTCCCTCATAAGGTTGTGTTCCTTGTTGCCATTGTTCTGCAAAATGCATTATCTGAACTTGCAGCTTTTCTCTGTAGAGAATCTTTTCTGGTCTTACACAAGGAAAAGGAGGTACTGAGGCTTAGAGCCTTCATTTTTATGAAGGTGGTTCTGGCCTTTCACCTCAACTAGAATATTGTGCTTTTCAAAGGGCTGTTTTGGTGGCAAAAGGGGGACCTTCTCAATATTCGATGGGTGGTCATAATGTTATGGCTGATCCGTGTATATAGCATAATATTCTATAGAGCTTTACAGGAGCATATACGTGTACAGTGCTGTTAATATGGAGCAGATGTACTACAGAAAATAACAGGCACAAACGAGTGCCAATGTATCTTTCTACCATTCATCTGAGGGAGATGTTTGCTCATGTTATAGCTAGCCACAGCCAAGTGCACAACCAGAGAAGTCTCTACTATATAATCCTTCACTTAGCACATATACTGTGTTTTGTCTTTGCAGAAAACCTCTTGATGTCATTTGATAGTTCTGTAGAACTGAAGCCTCTCCAGTTAGTATGGGCTAAATGTCGTGGATATCCTTCCTACCCTGCCTTGGTAAGAGACAAACCTTTAACAAGGACAGGCTAGTTGTTTAAACAACCTTATCCGCTTAGGATTTAACATCTTTTTAAAAAAAATTATTATTACAGATCATTGATCCAGAAATGCCAAGGGAGGGTTTGCTGCACAATGGCATACCTATTCCTGTACCGCCTTTGGAAGTTCTTAAGCTTGGAGAGCAGCGACGACTTGAGAACATTTTGCAACAACTCTTTCTAGTTTTATTTTTTGACAATAAAAGAACATGGTGAGCCACGTGATCTTGTATTTCTCATATATTATTCCATGCATAGTTGCAATGCAACATGTTGCGGTGCAATTAATTTTAAAATGGCACCCTATTGCACTCCTGAAACAAACCGCAGCGCACCACAGCACACTATATGCTTTTGCAATGCATCTCAAAAAAAAAAAAAAAAGCATGCGCTACATTTTCTTGTGTGGAAGTGCATTACAACCCATTCATTTTGAATGGACTGCCTGACATAGTGTGCCTTAACACATGAGAACTCTGTGTCTAAAGAATAGGATGAGTTGCCTATTCACTTGTCTATTTTAATGCAGCAAGCTCATGCCTTTTGCTACATGAAAATGCATTTTAAATAGAATTCCTATTCTTACCTATGTGGCTGCTTCACAGTTATGGGCTGCAGTTTAGTGCATTTTGAAAATGGAACTATATTTGTGTATTAACATAGGATCTGTAATGCACATGGAAAGGTGTAAATCCAGCCTCAATGATTACTACTTTGGCTGTTTCCGTATGCAACTGTTTGGTCCTTCATGTCTATGCAAACTAACCTTATTCTGTCATTTACTGTGCTTCTTGTAGAGTGCAAGATCAAATTATTATTGTATTATTAGCATTTCCTTGAAAAGTATCTAAACCCCATAAAAAATGTATCTATTGCAGCCAGTTGCAACATTAGTTTTCTATTTGTATGCTTTTTTCCCCTTTATTTTTATCTGTTGACCCTGCTGGTAACGAAATGTTTTCAATGGTGTATTTAACAAACCAAAATGGATTAAATAGGATATGTAATTGCTAGGGTTTGCATACATCTTAAAGTGTAACTACACTTTTTGGTGCAGTTGCACTTATATGAAAACTTGTGTTGCTCAAGTTCCCTTTGTGATCTTCTACTAACCTGTGCCTGCTGGAGAATGCAGTGTGACTGTCCATAGGATTTGATAAAGAGTGCACAGCGCAAGTGCAGGCCCAAAGATTTTAACAAGTGGCTCTGCAGCCTTTTTGGCAGTATCTTACTGGATTGGTAGAAGGGGTTCAGGGAAGCATTAGTTGAAGTGTAACTGCACCAAACATGTAATTACATGTTAAAGTGTGTTGTGTTTCCTGCTTAGTAGCCCAACATGATTGTGCCTGAATTTTGTAGCTGAAAATTAAGCCTAATTAGAGTTTTATATTTTATTATTATGTAGTATTGAAAAATGTAGAGTTCAAGTTTTTGATACTGAGACAAGTGGATTATATGTGAAAAATGGTACAAATAAAAATCTACTTGTAAGGTGCCTGCAGATTGTAACAGTCTTTTGCAAAAATGTAACATTTCTTATAAACTAGAGAGTACCTGTAAATCTGTCCTATGACGTACAGTGAGGAAAATTATTATTTGATCCCCTGCAGATTTTGTAAGTTTTCCCACTTACAAAGAAATGAAAGGTCTATAATTTTTATCATAGGTGTATTGTAAATGATAGAGACAGTATATCAACCAAAAACACATGATACAAATGTTATAAATTGAGTTGCAGTTCAGTGAGTAAAATAAGTATTTTATCCCCTACCAACCAACAATAATGCTGGCTCCCACAGACTGGCTATGTGGTACACAGATTAGTCCTGTCAATTTAAGAAGGTGCTCCTAACGACAAATGTATATAAAAGACACCTGTCCACAGAATCCTTCCAGTCAAACCTCACCACCATGGGCAAGACCAAAGTGCTGTCAAGGGACATTAGGGACATGATTGTAGACCTGCACAAGCCTGGAATGTGCTACAAGACGATCAACAAGAAGCTTGGTGAGAAGGAAACAACTGTTGGAGCGATTATTCGCAAATGGAAGGAATACAAAATAACCATCAATTGCCCTCTGTCTGGAGCTCGATGCAAGTAAGAATGATCAGGAGAAAAGTGAGAGATCAGCCCAGAACTACACGGGAGGAACTTGTGAATGATCTCAAGGCAGTTGGGACCACAGTCACCACACAAGCCATTGGTAACACAATACACCGCCATGGATTGAGATGCTGAAGTGCCCACAAGGTCCCCCTCCTCAAGAAGGCACATGTGCAGGCCTGTCTGAAGCTTGCCAATGTACATCTAAATGATTCAGAGAAGGATTGGGAGAAAGTGCTGCGGTCAGATGAGACCAAAATTGAGCTCTTTGGCATTAACTTGGCTCGCTGTGTTTGGAGGAAGAAAAATGCTGACTATGACACGAAGAAAACCATGCCTACAGTCAAGCACGGAGGTGGAAACATGATGCTTTGGGGCTGTTTCTCTGCTAAAGGTATATGCCGACATTGCCGCATTGAGGGACCAATAGACAGGGCCATGTATTGTAAAATCTTGGATGAGAACCTCCTTCCCTCAGCCAGAACACTGAACATGGGTTGTGAATGGGTCTTTCAGCATGACAATGACCCAAAACATACTGCCAAGGCAACAAAGCAGTGACTCAAGATGAAGCACATTAAGGTCATGGAGTGGACTAGCCAGTCTCCAGACCTTAATCCTATAGAAAATTTAGGGAGGGAGCTGAAACTTCAAGTTGCCAAGCAACAGCTAAGAAACCTTAAGGATTTAGAGAAGATCTGTAAAGAAGAGTGGGCCAAAATCCCTCCTGAGATGTGTGCAAACCTGCTAACCAACTACAAGAAACGTCTTACCTCTGTGCTTGCCAACAAGGGTTTCTCCACCAAGTACTAAGTCATGTTTTGCTTGGGGATCAAATACTTATTTTACTCACTGAACTGCAACTCATTTTATAACATTTGTATTATGTGTTTGTTTTTCTGGATTTTTGGTTGATCTATCATTTAAAATACAGCAGGGGATCAAATTATTTTCCACACTGTATGTTTGTGAATAACATGAAATAGCAACCCTGTGAATTTGCAAACAAATCACATCAAAATAGCTTTTAGGTGAATTTTGCCCAGAAAAAATACTTGGTAGGTTCCCTTAAATTTAATATTTTCATAGCTAATCTGGTATTCTTTCTCTCGGTTTTAGGCAGTGGCTTCCCAGTGACAAGCTTTTACCTTTGGGTGCTAATGATACAGTTGACAAGCTGAAAATGTTGGAAGGCCGAAAGCCGAGCATTCGCAAATCTGTGCAGGTGGCTTATGATCGAGCTATGACCCATCTGAATCGTGTTGGGGGTAGCCACCCATTTATCACCACAAACTACCTATATTAATCCCTCTAAATCCATAATGGAAGATATTGTTGCACTTTCAAACAGTAGAATATATTCTGAAACTTGGAAGTAATTTTTGAATTGAACTATTTGAAGTTCTTCATCTTACTGCCTAAGAAGACAAAAAGTATTTAAGGTAGTGAACATATATCTGTTTATTGTGCCAAAATGAACTCAAAGAAGCATGTTTTAAACCCTACGCCCACATATGGGAGAGAAAATATTAAATAGTAGAGGTTTTATTTAAAAAAATAACTTTTTTTCCAACTGTGTGGTTTTCATATGAATTAGAATCTGACCAGTATGTGTAATTTTACTTGATTTCATTTTAGCTTTTAGACATGACATAATAAGGTCTACCCATTTTATAAGCCAAATAAGTAGTGTATTTTGAGTCATAGAAGATAATTGGATTTTATTTCTGTTATAGGAACTATGTCATAACATATAAAGAGATCTGGCTGGTTCCAACAAGTTAAAAGGAATAGCTTATAAAAAAAGTTTATGAATTGTAATTGATACTGTTGTATATCGGTAATGGTGTTTAAAGATTATATCTAAATTATAATTGTGAAATGAATAGTTTTCAGAGGTTTGTGCCCTGTGGTTTTGCTGAGTATTTACAAAGATAATCTATTAATATCACATGGTTTGTGGCTTCAGCTCCAAAAATATCAGTCTTTCTTTTCTGAAATGGTTCGTCCACCAATACTGATATCTCAGTACTGCATAGTTGCTGCTGGGTTAATAAACCACTGCCTCTTGGGAAGTCTATCACTTCCCAACTCCAACTTACTATTACGGGATGTTCTCCCGACTTGTAATTGTTTGGCTTTTTTTTTTAATGTTATATTAATTACTTGCTGTCTGGAGCCATTTCTTACTATTTGCACACACATGATAAAATCAGAATTTTTGGCTAGAAAACAGCTCCAGACCCCCAAACAATATATTTTCTGAAAGCAAAGGCCCTGTAGAAAAAAAAATGCTAGTTGCAATTTTTTTTATGTTGCATGGTATTTGCGCAAATGTTTATAAAACCAGTATTTTTAGGATAAAATACACAAAAATGAAATTTAGTGCACAGAAACAGAATATAATACCCAATTTTTTGATAAACTATAAAAGACGGGGTCACGCCAGGTAAATAGATACCAAACAGATCAAACTTTTAATATTGCAGAAAACTACAATACCCATAATTTCCCATACGAGATGCTTTAAAAGCTTTTACTGCTCATCAGTTTAGTATTAACAGTGATTTGATGGCCCCAGAATTATTGCTCTCACTCTGATGTTCGCGACACTATATAACACATGTGCATACACGTGGGGGGCGGGGGATTTTAAAATATTTTTTTTGTATTATAATATATACCCAAAGAAGCTGATGAAGCAGAGATCTGCTTCACCAGCTTCTCCTGGCTCTAAGAGCCAGAGCATGCACACAGTGACACCGGAAGTGAAGTAATATACTTCCTGCTGATGATCTCTCCTCTGATCTATAAAAAAAAACCCGCTGTCCCTGGCCCTCACGGGGACGCTGGTGCAGGGGGGCGCACATTCTGCCAAAACCTTCTTATCTATTTTCATAACAGTATGTTAGTTTTATGAGAGATTAAATGCAGGAACATGGCTTCTGTGGTATTTTAGCTTTTTAGGGATGCAGTGTACAGAACAAGCCTTTTTTCTGTCTATAGTCATTTAAAACCCTTAGCAGCCACAGCTCCAAGCTTGCTCCCATGATGGACTACAATCACAGTACAAATTAGTAAACTAAACGTGAGATTGTAGTCTGTCACAGGCGCAAGCTTGGAGCGTTGGCTACTTTACAACACACACAGGAACCACGGGGAACAGAAAGTAGCCACCCTCCAGAAGGACAGTGCCAGCACAAATTCAGAGATGATTTGTGGATCTACAGCCGAGTGATACACAAATAAGTAATATTATTGTTAATAGTTAAGGTACTTGAATGCATTTTTAAAATTTAACTCCTAAGTTTAGTGTCACTAAAGGGCTCATTCATTTCAAATGAAGAATTTTGCGCCACGTAAAAAGCCTATGTGACATCTATGCATGGTGCTCAAGTGTGTACAGTTTCTTATAAATTAAATCTTTTGAATGTTTCATATATTACATCAAAATTTCAAGTACACATTATCCGCCTAATTATTGTGTAGTTACTAGGGATACCCAAATACCAAGTACCGTACTTAGTATAATTTGTGATATATATATATATATATATATATATATATATTAGGGATGCACCAATACCATTTTTTTTCCAGTACAATTACTGATACTTGTCCAAGTACTCAATGATACAATTACTGATACATTTGTGTTTAGTGTCATGTGACAGTTTTTCTAAAACAATACAGACTAATGATTTCAGTAGCCAGCGGGGCCGACTAGCATGGTACTGAAGCTTGGCCCAGCGGGAGATTCCTCCGTCCACACAGTTTAGCATAGATGGAGGAATCTGTTGCACTTTTTCCATCTGTCCCTAGTAAATCTGCAGAAAATCTATAGGTGTATGGCCAGCTTTAGAGTGCTCAGGCCTGTGGATAGTACCAAATGCCACAGCATAAAATGCTGCTGTAATGCTATTTATTGACTTAAAAGAAAGGCTCCTATGTTAATAAATCAGGAAAAACCACCCACAGCTTTTGATGGAGTGTTGTTAAAATCTTAGCAAGCCGAAGATGCATTTTGTTTTTTAATGACACTTTGTGTGTTATTGGAGGAAAGTAATTATCGTTATAATGATATAAACATCATCATCAAATAATGCCAAGACTGGCACAGTAAAAGAGCTAGCTAGCTTCAATGTAGCAAATTAAATTGAAAACAATAGTGTTGTTAAAAGTCCTCCCTTAGTCAAACTTCTGCAAATTTTTGCCTTGCATGATCAGAGTGGATCACTCTATTACAAAACATGTTAAGCTCACTGGCATAGTGTAGAGCTTCATTTAATGTGATAAAATACATTTGCACACTTAATAATAAGTATGCACACTTTAAAAATGTGATTACAGGCACTTAGCTGTGACGGCCTCGGGCAAGCTAGTAGATGTTAACAGGATACCAAGATCAGGACCTCACAGTCTCTCAGTTACTCAACTTCCTTCTCTTCTTGCTCTTTAGCTACTTTACCCATTGCTGTACCACGTGAACAGTTATTAGGCAACAGTTCATGTACAACAACAGGGGAAAAAGCTGAAGAGAGCAGGCGGGGAGGAAACTGAAAGACTATGGAGTCCTATCCATGGCATACTGTTTTTATTTACTGAAAAAACACAAACAAGGGGCGCCTTTCCTGGTGCAGACAAATTTATTAAGATCAGGATTGAAGGTAAATATAAAACATACTCACAAAATTTTATGATTGAAGTATAAAAAATATAAAAATTGAGTCCATGGACCCAGGGAAAAGTCTATGAAAGCTGCACAGCAGTATCTGTGTCAGCAGAGGAGACTGTGTGATGATGCGTTTCCGGGGTCACGCCCCCTTCATCAGTTTTTATTGACTATTTAACTAAGAGAGTATGCTGATGGCTATGAGCTATAAAGAGATCTCTAATCACTGCTAAATGTCTGTTATCACATTTTGAAATTGTGAGTGCATTAATAATTTTATCTAATCGTATTAAATGAAGTTCTACGCTGTACTAGTGTGCTTTGCCCACCCTCTTCTCAAGAAAATCTACAAGATTCCAATGATGGACATATTAAAATATCACAACTGTGTCTACTTAGGCTGGCCATGCACTGGTCTATTTATTTTTTTCAACCCGCGGGCTGGACAAAAAAAATAAAAAATAGAGCAGATTCCTCTATCAACAGTAAGAGTGTGTTGATCGAGGAATCCCACTATTTGCATTGTACTCTGACAGCGGCCGCCGCCCACTCAGAATACCCGACCAAAGCTGGCAGCTCATTGGCTACTTGTTCTGGTTGTGCAAAGATTTTCCAGCCGGCTCCTTTGATCAGCTGATCTAGTGATGCCGACCGAAAGGGTGCAGACACTGGCACAAATTTGCAAATTTCAGTCGGTTCCTCTAGAACCCAAGCGTATGGGCACCCTTAGAATTTATGTTTTGGTTGTGAGTGAACACTTGCAAATTTAGTCTACTGCCTCTTTCTTATTGGAATCCTGGCAGAAAAATATCCCTACCAAACCATTCCAAACATTATCATTCTACAGCCAAGGTATCAAATGAACCCCCTGCAAATCTCTTCATAATATAAAAAAAATGGCGCATCTACAGATGAGGGTGTTCTAGCCAGAGACAACAAAAGCTATGACAGGGAGATCAGTGTACCTGGGGGCTCTCATAGATACAAAGAGGTAGCAAGTGTTGAGCTTTTTGATATTTACCCAAAAATACATGGTATTCTTGGGTAGAGTTCTCCCAAAAATGAAAAGGTCAACAACTAAGAAGTAATATATCAGGTGGAGTCTGGTGGGCTAATCACTTACTGGTTCATGTCTCTTGGGGATTCAAGTTGTGATAGTTTCCTTTCATTGTTTCTAGCTAAATTTTAGTCTGCCCTAAATTTTGGATATTTTCATTCCCTCGTGTGGCATTATCCTTAACTTTGGAGCTCAAGAGCAGTGATCTTGGCACCTAAACCCTGAGAGGTATAAGAAACATTAGATGGTTTAACTCAAGCATATACCAAAAACTAAAATATCAACTTTGTTTGAACTGACCCTTAAAGCCCAATTGAGCTCTCAGTTTAAATCGGCTAAATCCATTTCAGGAGCATCACAACAAAAGGTGCACATATTCTTACAGTTGGCTTTCTTTCAAAAGCTGATGCAGTTTGATTAGAAAGTTCTTGTCTCCTGCCAGCTGCAGAGTGAGACCCATGCTGTATGTGATAACCACTGCAGAGATCTAACATTGCCCCTACTGATTATACTGAGTAGCTCTGTGATTAGCAAAACTCCTACTCCCTGCTGATTGGAGAGCACTGCATCGGAAACAGCAGGGGGTGATTGGAGTTCTGTAAATAAATCACTGGTTGCCTGCAGGGAGCCAGGCTCCCACTCTGCAGCCTGCTGGCAGGGGACAGGCTTTTCTACTTGGGGTTTAGCTCCTTTTTTTAACCTCTTGCTGCCGGCTCCCATTGACCAATGATGGGGTTCTTAATACCGGGAGTCGGGAGGGGTGGGCTCACCAATCATGTGATCACTGTGACTGGTGGTCACATGATTGAGTCCATCCCCCTGGTCAAATAGTGACCAGACGCTGTCAGTGACAATGCAGTCACTGCAGAAAGTGCCGAGTGAGCACACTCGGCGCAGAACAGCACCATCAGCTGTACGCATATATGTGGCAGTCCAGTGTTTAAGCCACACTGCTGCATATATATATGCGTAAGCCAGCAAGAAGGAGTTAAAGCAAA